AAAACATGCTCAGAGACTTACGATTTATTTTTATTTTATTTTATTAGAATTCAATTCTTTATTCTTTAAACAATATATATAATTTCAAGATATCACCTGCACGAAATTTTATAGATTATATACTGTAAGAAAATGTTAACTTTTCAAAAAGCAGGCTACCAGTAAAACATGAATTTTTCCATTGATCGTTCCGGTCACAATAGGATACATAGAAAAAAAACTTATGTTTTAGCTACAAAACTATATTAGAACATAGAAAAATGAAGACGTTTTGTGGAGAGTTATGTATCAACCATTTAAAATAATGATAGTTAACTCATTTTACCTATTTTCAGCTAAAAGCAATGACATATTCGTGATCAGCAGACACAACTGCGTCGAATGAGCATCTAATTTAGCTATTCAAATACAATTTTGTTTTTCTTTTCTCTTACTTCAGTCAGCATCTACACCTCTTTACAAAAACAAGAGTAAATGACTGACTGACTGAAATATTACAGTTTTGTGAATTATTTAAAAATATTAAATAATATCGGATATTATAACTCAAATTTCTACATGGGTATTCAACGCCGTTTTTGTGTCTGCCATTCTTATTCTCTGATATGCTTTTATGATGTTCTCACTAAGAACATGGGCGGGCCGCCAGCAGATCAATTGAGGGCAACTATCCCTCCTAGGAAAATATGTTAACGGCAATAGTTCCTTATTACCTTGCTGTACGAAAACTTTTTCGCTTTTCCATAACCCGTGCGCGATATCACAAAATGAGCAAAAGCCACGGAAGCTATAAGGAAGGCGCTTTTCAAAATACAGTATGTTAAAAAACTTATTGCCCCTTGCTAAAACGAAAGCCCATGATTAAGAACACAATAAAACAAAATACATTTTTATTATTAAAATAACAGATTCAAAACATCTTTTTCGTCCAAACAAAGCTAAAAGTTAAGTCTACGTTTTTAATTATGTCAGTTTGTAGGGGATTCAAAATACTTTCTTATGATATATTACATTTGATTTTAACGTTTATTATCAGTATAAAAGTATCAGTTAGCTTTCAACTTTATCTATTTCTTAATAATCCTACCGACAGAAAGGGTGAAGCAGATATGTGTACAGTAAATGCTTATTTGTTTCTCAAATACTATAAGTCGAATTACTATGTCCCATATACCAAATTATAGATGAAGAGTTCCCTAACAAAACAGCATATTAAACGGATGTGAATAATATATCTGGAAAAGGCTGTGATCGATCGAAAATAGGTCATTTTTTTTACCAAAGTAAAATAAAACTACTCTAACTCAGCAGCGAGCCAACGGTGCCAGCTAAAAATATCATATTTATGATCAACGCACTTAGCTCTATCAGACCCCATGTATTTCTCCAAAATTCCAGAAGGACACTTCGGAATGTTCCCTCGTGAGATACGTATTTACCAACGTAACCAAGTCCACGGACCTTGTCTTACATATGTGCGTATAGTCAACTAGCATACACCTTTTGTGTTATACACCTAATATAACCGATTTTATTCTACTCAATTCGAGTCCATTTTTTGTGTGATAGTTCCAAACACACTTAATCGGCATCAAGGGAGAAAAAAAACAAAAGAAAAAAGATAGACACTTGGCTACTTAATCTTTAGAGAGCATGCAGAATTAGAACTACTGAAATTTATTCGATTTGACTCATTACCATTGGGTGGTGTTCAATTTTATTGGATAACTAGTGGCGCAGATATAAATCGGTCAACGTTTGATCTAGGATTTCAAATTGTGAATCATATTAACGATGAATATCAATTGCCGAATAAAGCAAAAATGTTAACAAATTTAAGAAATTATGATACCATAGGGAAAACTATACACGGTCCAAAACCAATGTATTTCCGACCATTAAAAGAATTTGTACCACAAACATTTTAAACAATATTTCAAAGGCTTGTTAGTAAAGATTAAGTATGATAAATGCTCGTACGTGTAATTGTACGTGTGCTACTCTTCTTTATCTGTAGTGTACAGAGAGGTATACTGTCGGCAGTGAAGCTTCATATTCGTTAATAAACTTCGAGAAAGTGTACAAAAATCTCAGCTATTATCGAGTTACTCAAAAACTAGATAAAATAAAGCTTTGAATGGAGTGAGAACGTTGAATTCTGGCTGCTTTTTGACCTTTCCTAATTTGCAGTCTGTTACACCTTATGACACGATACGAACATCAGTGAAAATATGCAGATCCAGAAAGTACTAATATAGATCCGTCATTGTACGAGGAAAAAGAGTTGAGAAGGATGAATTCCGATTCTATGTCCTTTTCTATTTACATATCAAACGAGTTTAAGGAGTGAGTATACTACATCGCTGTAACTATCTTTACGACTAAGACTTTAAGAATAATTGCGGCTATCATGTTCAGAATTTTAATATAAGTTTTAATAAAAATTTTCTGTATGAAGAGCAACTTGGAAATGACCGTATCAATAGGTCGAAATATTGAACTGTAATTTTAATCGTTGGTTTTAATTTTAAAATTTTTATTATTATTAAAACTTACATTAAAATTCTTAACATGACAGCCGCAATTATTCTTAAATTCTTATTCTAAACCTTGCCCATAAACTCTCAAAATCTTTACGACTTTTCTCGCTAACTTTTATCCTTCTGATTGGTTGGAGCAGTTCTGATAAGCAAACACTTTGGATTCTCTGCGCCGTTTTGCCTAAAGGAATAAGAAAGAGCTCTTATGTAGATAGGCTTACTTCATTGCAGAGTGAAGACTCTTAGATGAAACACAAAGAACCTTTCCTTTTATTCTCATTCATCCTCCATAATCCCTTATTTCTGGTACTCGTGTGATATAGCAAATTGGAAGTTGGGAAAAATCAAAAAGTAACCATAACTCAAGCTTCCCTTTTTGTTAAAAATATACGTGGGTTTATTCAGTTTTTGAGTAATTCAATAATATCTGAGATTGATTAGATACTCTCTACATGACGCATGCACTCCTCGAGTTTTCACAAGGAATATTATGGATACGTAAACCTACTTGTTTGAGTTGCGGTCGTGAAATGTTTGTATTTCGTACGCATCACAAAAAAATAGAAATAATATTAGCTAAACATCATGCAAATGCTAAAAATAGTTGTTATTGTCATATTTATAACAATCGATTAGTTCATAAATATATCAATCAGTCATTGCTAATTCACAATAAAAAATTTGATATTTGGACACATTTACTGTGTGGTTGTACAGGAAATATTCTCTGTTCTGCTACTCGGCTACTCTGATTAACTTCGGACCCACATTGGCTATAACAAATCAAGCCCTAGAAAAAGTGATACCCCAATGCCTTCAAGCCGCCATTAGTGAGACTTATCACATACAAACTATCGTCCTCTTTAGCTCTAATTATTCTCATTTTCTCATTGTAGCTGTTGTCTGTGAAGTCCTCAATAATTATCGTAATTTCGGCTCAGCTTTGTCATTAGGAAAAATACTACCTTTAGCTATTCACATCCCAGTGATCATACAAATCTCGTTGCACCAACGTTAACAGTAGCTTTTTATCGTTATCCATTGAATTCAGATAGACAATTAACTTAATATCCAGCGTTCTCGTATCATATCGGAAATATCATCGTCCATTATCACGTCCAGGTAGATTAACTACTGCCGCTTCTTCAACATTATTACCACGAAAAGTCAAAGCAACACACGAGAGATGAAAAAAACAGTTAAACTATAGGAATAGAAGCCGCAACTGCAAAGGAACAAACGCTCCCATATCCTTCTGTAAAAGCAAAAACAACATTAAACCACCTTTCTTATTCCTCTCACATGCCTCAGCGTCAATATTAAGAAAAGCTCAACTAATATATTCAACGACATCTTTGATACGAACACCATCAATAACGTTAGCTTATCATCAAGAACAATTATCAGATACGCTAACTCAATAGTTAAATTAATGAGACTCAAATAGCTAAATCTATTGAACAGACAACAACAGATCCATCTCGAGACGTGAGAATGTTGGAATGGCCTCTGCTAAAATAAGAAGATCCATGCAATTATTTAGCAAACAAACTACATTGTCATTAGTTGTTAGTACCAATAATCATTCGAATTGAACGACAACGAATACATCATGGGTCTTACATTCTAAACAGGTACTTTAGTCTCAATTGGAATAGTGTACATTATATGAACAGAACATACATTACTTCCTCCACACTTACAGTATCTTACTGAGGATTTCAGCTAACCCTGATTATTTGCAATTATCTATCACTTTAATAGTGCTTACTTTTTCAGTGTAACAACAAATTTCACGAATTTTTTCTCAGACTTATTCCTGTATATTCAGAACAATCAAGTTATTTTATTTGGTGATTCGTTTTCAAGAAAGCGATGTACACAAAAACAAAAAAATGAACATTAAAAATAGCACAACAAAAAAGAAATCACGAAAAAGTAAACAACGACTAAAGAAAAAAAGATGAGTTGATGAAAAGCAAAACAAAAACATGGCTTCTACTTCATTGAAATAGTATAGTTGTCACTAGAGAAAAGAGAAAATCTGACCAAAAATCACACAAACAGACGCAAAAAAAAGACATTTAATTCACCGGCACAAGCAAAGTACATTTTTAGAATGAGCATGTCATTTACAAAATGATAAGCTAAGCTCAATGTATGGTGATCTTTCTATAGAATATAGTTGGAAAAATAATCTGTTAGTGGAGAAACGTTGTACAATGTGTTAGGTACAGAATAAATTCATTTTTTTATAAGATATGATGGCTGTGATCAAGTATGAGTCATATTGAATTAGGATGAAATATTTCATAATCAATTGAGAATAGGGTAAAGGATGTTGTTAGGCTTATTCTGGAAGTTAAAAGAACGCTAAATGTAGTTTGAATGACACAAAAAAAGACGAAAAGAAACAAAGAATCATTCTTATTGAATAAAAAATGACTGCAAACAAGAATAACTCTACACAAGAAAGAGAAGCACATTCTCATAGTGTACAAATGGTGAGATTGTAGTTATTAAGATGTTGCTGTTTGATCTAATGTCAACGTCGGTGGTATCAACGTTGAACGAAATTCATTTAAAAATGCATCACTAAATTCAAATATTCCTAATCCGAATAAAACTCGAAAATAGCCCAAACCATCAAATTCAATATCACAATATTGATGTGGATGAATTTCTTTATCAATAATACTAAATATTTGTTGAATAGAATAGCGTAATTGCTCGCCAGTTAAACCCGATTTTTCAACTAAACTCAAATAATCAATTGTTTGCATATTAAATGATGATAATGTCGTGTTTGGTTCTATTATTGTAGAATTACCTAAAAAACAGATAATATTCGTTATTAGTAATTAAAAAATCATAAAAAATATCACAAACCTGAATGTTGTAATGAAAGTGAGAGTGCTGATGATAATGTTGGCTTTTTGATTCGAGACAAGCGATGACGTCTAGCAAATGTGGTATCCAAAACAAAAAATGGTTCTTTAGTCAATAGATTATTAATTGATGATAATCGTCTTGATGATAATTGTTTTGTGGATACGGTATAATCATCTTCGGTTGGTGGATGATCAATAATTACAAATGCTCCTAATTCAGGTAATAGACATGGTTCATGTTTTAAGAGACGATGACGAATCATATGAGATAAAAGTGTCCATAATGTACGTAAATCCGTTTCACTTAAATTTAAATTAGACGATGTTGTTGTACCATTTGTATAGATTGATGCTAAGTCAATACTATCATTATCTGTAAGTGACTCTGTGACTATTGTTGTTGGTGTTGTTGTAATACGAGAATTACTACTATTATTTGTATGAGCGACTAATTTAAACAATGTGTCAGATGTCAATTTATAGCCAGGCATTGTGTGAGTATTTAACAATTGTCAAAATTTAACATTTACAACATCCGCTTATCTAATTAGATAAGAAAATATCGTCATAATCTAATAAAATAAAAAGTATTAAAACAAGATTCATTTCCATCAGAGAAATAGTCATAAGATCTCTCTACCACTTTTCAAAGTCAATATAGCCACCATTTTTAATACTATCGTTTATTATCACAAATAAATTGTCTTACAGTGAAAGCATAGAGTGCACAGTTTTCATCTAGTAATACTAGTACTTTTGTGCATCTGTTCATGCATAAAAGATGGAGACATGTAACATTTCATTCATAAGAAATATTTACATAATATGCACGTCAACAAACTATTCGCTGACAGTGGAATGTTTGAATTTAAAATTATGCTCTTTTAAATAACGATAATGATTTGAATTTGTATTGTTTTTTGATTGATATCAACGAATGTAAAATTTTCTAATGTAATGAATGTTTAAAATTGTTTAAAAAATGGTAACGATATCAGGAGAGATTTCTATTTTTTAATATAATTCAATATTTATTGTGGTTATAGACAATGATACACGTTTTAAATTTGAGATTTATTCATTTTCAACAAATGAATTATAAGAAAATTTTAACTTCAACAATTTCAAGTCTCCAAAAAAAACACAATAGGAAAAAATGACGACCTGAAGCGTTTGTATGTTTATGTTTTATACAAATCAACTGTCAAATACTTCAAAACTTGAAATATCACATCGTGCATATATTTTCGCTAACTTTTGCTTTGAAATGACATTAAAAAAATATAATATTTTAAAGTTCAATGATCTTTTGTAACAAAAGGCATTACTCGTTCAAATGCAAACAAATCAAAAAATTTTCAAAATATGGTCACTTATTTTCTATACATAATTCTATCCGATTTTCTTTTTGCTTTATGACTTCTACTTCTCTGAGCCTAATGACATAATTGTCTATGTTTCACTTCTTAAATGATAATATTATTGCCTTCACCACCATACCTGTTATTATTATTATTATTATTGATACTAATGTAAAATACAATACTTTTAATAATTGTACGTTATTTCATATTGTCAATTTTAATTTCATCTAATCATTTGCCTTCATATGATAATTAAAGTTGCATAAATACCAAACATGTCAATTATTTTAGGACAAAATAATTTTGTCTTCAATTTGTTGAAATTGTGAAGGTTAACAATAAATGACATTAAAAATTTTATTAATAAGAGTACGATCGACATAAGTTCTAAAGATATTATTTGTTATTTTTCGATAATCAAACGATAAACATGATGAGAAGAATTTTCAGTTGTTGGTGTATCACATGGAAATCAAAACATTGATCATTAGCAGTTTGAATAAATTATCAAACGAAGAAAATAGATTATAAACAACAAGATTTTCGAAAAATTCTATTAATCATTGATTGATCACATGTTCAAATTTTTTATTATTGTAGTTTTAAATAAAAAAGTTTGTTAGAGTTAAAAATTTGATACAGTCCTTCTATCATCATTATTCTACACAATTTTTCTTTTTTTTTGACAGTATATTTTATCAAAACTAATAATACAAATCATTTTCTTTTTCTTTTTTTCATTTAATTTGTAATTGGTTTACAAAATAGAATAACAATGGCATTAACAAATGACTACAAAAAAACAAAATCAAAAAATACGAGAAAACAATGAAAGCCACTAAAGTCTATGTCGTTGTTTTTTTTTGAATTAAACGTTTATCGTATGTTAAATTATCAATAAACGAATCAATTGTCTCATTTGATTCATCATGAACTAATTCCTTTTCATTGAATATCACTCTTGTTTCACTTTTTAATGATGATAATAATTGCTGATTTTGTTGTACTATGACACCATTATCACTTACCATTGTCATTACACTATTTTGACTATCACTAATATCTAAATCTGTTTCTAAATCAGGCAAAATTGAAAGTGGTGGTGGATACGCTTTTGCTATTAAATCATCTGGTAACGATTGTTTACATTGTGTAAACAAAGATAACAGTGTATTATCTGAATCTTGAGAATTTAGAATATCATACGCTTTTGTACATGCCTGACGAAAACGTTCACCTTCAGATAATATTAAATTTTTACTGGCATTCAGATATGGTACAAGTGGATTTTCAATAAATATTGGCCATTCTTTATCAAGATTAGCACTAGTTTTGCTTTTGAATAGTGATGATTGTTCAGTTAAATGTGGATAATTATTCTGATTTAATAGCAATGATTGTTTTGTTAAATTTTCCCGATTTAATAACGTAATTAATTCGGATTCAAAATTGTATTTAGAATAAAATTTAAAAAAACCACTTAATAACATCGCTAAAATCAAACATAGAAAATGAAAAATAGAAATATATTTTAAAATTTAACTCAGATTAATTACCTAACGAACTATTATTTGATGTATTCATTTTTGTACGATGAATATTGTCTAATTCGTCCAGTAGAATCTGATCGTTACCAACTTCTAGAAAATACCAAAATATAACATCACACAAACAACACTGCAAATAACTGAGCACATTGTAAACGCATATTACAGTATGGCTTGATAATTATGTTGTTCTCCAGTCTAATTCGAACATCGTCACCTTCAAATCGTATAATTTTCCTGGGCAAGTTACTTATACTTTGATGTCCAGAATCATCTGTCTGATAGCGCACTTACTACATTGTGATGTATCATACAGTTCCTTCGGTTAGTTGTCATTACTTTCAGAGAACTAGTACGTGGTTAGTGAGTATGCAAGAAAAGCTCAGAAGACTGAGTGAAAAGAACTGTGCGTCAAGCTAGTCTTCTGACCAGAGTTCCAGTTGATTATTAGTGTTAATATGGCTCATCATATCAGAAATGTATCAGTTCTAGAAAAGATGTCGGACTATTGAAACTGGCTATATGTAATTATCATACATCGTTAACGGTAGTTGCAAGATGTGGTATTCTTTTTTCCAACAAATATTCCCAATCTTTTAGTTGACTGGCTCTTTCTATCTACCAAAGATTGGTCCGAACACAAACATCAGCTCGTTTATATAATTCACTTTACCATCACTATCATGCGCTGGATGATTGTTGTTATACTTTAATTTTGGTATAATTTTCACACTTTGTAAATAATACAAAACTAATAAAGTGATTTGGAAATTTGAAAACCATGGACCTGGCGTGCTTTGAGTAATAGATGATTCTTTAGCCCAACGACGAATAGAAAAGACTAAAGGTGCTATACGACTATCAATTGTACTTAAACTCCACAATAATTTTGTCATAAAATAAGATGATCTTAAATAAATAAAAGATAAAATAATAAAATAAATAAGTAAACTACTCTTTTGTGTCAATGATTGTACTTACTTGAATTCACTCATCGATACATCACAATGTAAACCGGATAGACGATGATAAAATCGAACAATCGGAACACGAGCCGGTAAAATCATTTGCACATTTATACATTCAGCCATAAAATGTTTTAATGTTTCAGCAAGAATCTTCAAAAAGAAAATATTTAATTCTACTTTTCCATGCAGATATAACTATTAAAATTTACCTTTAGATAAGCTTGTGCTTGAAATCGATCATTCAAATAACTTCGTTTTGTTAAAAACCTTAGTTGTTGAGTTTGCGTTTGTTCTTCCTCACGTTGTAATTGTAACTAAATAATAAAAATAAAATTAACTTACCGATGTACGAATGATAAGAACCAGTAAGCTTACATTTACAGTTCTAAAATCTTCGAGACAAATCACCATATCCAAATCACAATTTGATCGGCCTAGTGAACTTACAGATGAGCCAAATGGAAAACAAACTGTGTTAACAAATATACTACTAAACGCCTCTAAAATACACAAGTATAAATGAATTTTGTTTTAAAATTATGAAATAAATATAAAAATTACCTTCGACAAGTGATGCCACAAAATATCTCAGTCTAATATCAATTTCTGTTAATTTTGTTTTCTGCCAAAAGTATCTTATTTGATCACTAATCTCAATGAAGAAAAATGAAAGCGATATCTAACGATATCTGTACAGACACAAGCGCATTCCATCTACCTTACATTACGTATATCTCCTAATGATTGATCAATAGCAATATCATCTGATTGTTGAATTTCCCTTCCGATAGGTAAATTTTTAAATTTCGCAGATGAATAATGAGACTAAAAACATAAACAAAGAAATGTAGTACAGCTACCAAACAACAAAAAAGAAATAGGATAACTTACAACAAAATAAAGATTTCTCGATACACAAGGTAGTCGATTTTCGTTCGTAAAATGAGTACTCTGTTTTAAAAGAGTTTTTACACTTTCTTCATTAGTAAATTCGAGCAGAGCACATTCCTAGAATAAAAATTTGAGTTTTTCCACAACCACTTCCCAAGATACGAAATGTTTACTTTTTTATTTGCTGTATACAATGTCATATTTGATATTTGTCCTATCCGAGAGCACATTTTGTATACATCTGTTTCACACTGACTACGTCCAAGCTAAAATAGAACACAAAAAATAAGTAAACGAAAAGCATCTTTTCGATATCAAGTAACTGCTTTTTCATAATTATGTGTTCGACGAAAATTCCGGTAGTTTTTGTTCCACCTACCAGCACAAGAACGGTTCGTCGAGCTTGTTGTCGCCGATAATCAACAGTTGATTCAAATGAACGCACTAAAGTCACAGCTAAACAGAGAGGAAAGAAAAACGTATTCTTATTTGCCGTTTGTGTAACTGATTTGTTCTCGAACATACGTCTATTTCTATTCGAATTTTTGTTGTTCACATTTGTGGCATAGGATCGAGTGAGTAGAAGTCGAAATGAGCGCATTATTGATTCACGAGCTGATGTGCACATCTAAAAAAACAAGATCAAACAAATACTTAATTCGATTCAATTAAGCCATGTCTGAAAAATCCGATACTCATTTAAAGTTTGAAAATAAAATCTTGTAGTGCTCTTGCTCTGTCCATTATGATAAAACGAAAATTTAAAGAAGAATCAGAGCTTCTGAGATGAGAAATATCCATTTCTTTTTAGCATAATCTGTGGTTGATGCAGCCACAATACATAAAAAATATCCGCGAAACAATTTGAGAATTCTAGTTTAATAAATACTATTCTAACAGGTTTAATCAAATAACAACGTGAGCTTTCAGCAAAGACTTTTTCAAATTAATGTTATTTTAAATATCGATAAAGAAAGCAAATAATCAAATCGGGAAGATTGTTTCATCCAGTAATAGAACTATGAAAACAGAAGAGAGAGACTGTTTCTAGAAAAAAATACCATACACAAGCTACAGGAGAGGAACAGCAAAAAGATCAACGAAACTTAGAGATAACAATTTGAAGCGCCAGTCGAAACAGAAGAAGGAAAATACAACTTTTGTGTATCACAAAAAAATTGATACGACAGAAATTATCAGATGTACTTCGACTGACAATTAGTAAGTAGTTTCAAATCTTTTCAAGAACGTTGTGTCTGAGTTTGCAAACAAAATACTGCCCTATTTTTCTTTTAAGTATGCTCATACACATTTCTTGATCAAAGTGAGAAAATCAGTAAACTTTTCTGTATCCATCCCATTTGTTTCTTCGAATCATGTAGAAAAGCCCATGGACACGTTTTACAATGTTGCCGGCGTACAATAAAACTTTTCACGGAGTGATTTACACAGTATCGAAGAAGAGTTTGTAATCATAATATTTTCATGGAATTATCTCATATAAGACCGAAATCACATAGTTCATCAACCTCCCGAGATCTTTGCTGATTTGTCTAAAACCGCAGCCAACCATACTTAAAGAAAAATTTCTCATATCTCTACATTAACATAGTGTAACGCTACTCTCGCCGTCAAATATAGATGGTTGACAATATTTACTAGAAGAACTCTAATAATTAATAATAATAAGACAATCTTTTTAATAAGATGATTTAGTTCTTCATACTATGTCTCATGTCATTTTCAAGCAAGTAGAAGCATTTTTTCGATACCAAGTACTTATTTCTTGAAATTGAAAAGAATATCATGAGAAAATTCTGCATATTTTGAGTCGATTAAAATTCAAAATTTATTTTTGCAAAAATTAAAAAAAGTTCGTAATCTTTTATCTTTTAACAAGTGATTAAGTGAGGTTCTTCCTACGTTACAGAACCACATGAATAGAGCCAAATGGTAGAAAAATTTCATTCCCATGACCAATGAGTTTCACGATTTTTGCCATTCTTCTCATATACCATTGGATCACACCAGTATTCTTGATTTTCCAGTTTCGACATGCGGCAACAATTGCTTCAGGCATTTTCTTTTCTGTGTCAGTTTAATGTTCGACTATTTGCTGTGAAGTGCTAAGTAATAATAGACAGACAAAGCAAATAGGAAGCGTAGCATTTTTGAGAGTTTATATAACATACTTGTATGTAAACATAGTTTTTATTTTGAGAAACTGCGACAACAAATGTTAATCTGCTACATGTTCATAATGGTTTCGCTATTTTTAGATGAAGAGTCTTTTAATATCAACGAGTCAACAAGAAAAATTGTTACATGATGAAACCGAAAGACGTCGAACATTACGTTTACTACAAGTCTGTATTCACTTGGAGTCTAAGAAAATTGAAGTCATGTATTCACTAATAGCGCACTTTACGTTTAATCAAACAGAATTTTTTAAGAGTGGTTTATGCGACAGCAAGTCTAATAAACAAAATTGTTTGTTAGTTATTACTATAGAACAGTCGACAACATTTTGACTCGCCGAACTTTTTTCGATGCTTTTTGAAATAGGGATATCAGGATCTCGTATTTGAGATTATTTTTTTGTGTATTCATTTTAATATCTCGTTTCAGCTTCGTCAAACGGAAAAACAACGGGCTGCTAGTTTACGACAAAATGTTACCAAAGAAAAAAAGAAGCAGACGTATTTATTAATTAAACAATTGCAGGTTCATTTTCTTGTTTATTTAGCATAAGATTTTGTATAGTTTTTATCGTACTTTTTAGAGTGATTGGTTACAACAAAAAGTAGAAATAAATGAAAATCTTGAATATCAATTTCGTGAAAATCTCATGGAAATGGGAAAAAGCCATCAAGCAGCTATTGATCAGGTAATGAATAAATTAAAAGGGACACCAAAGAATATACTTATATATCTTAGTGAACTTGAACATTTTCTGTTATTTAGCCTGATTATGAAAAACAATGGTTACAAAAAACGGTTGAAAATGATTCGAAAGCAATTGAACGTGGTCAATATGCATTAGATAAATTACATACTGATCAAATGAACACTGAAAATGATCGAAATCTTCATTTACTACATCGGTAGAGGATTATTATCATTATTATACTGTGCATTAGATATTTTTCTTGTCTAGAAAAGCGGCACTGGAATTAGAAAAGATCAGATCACAAAATATCGCTAAACTACCACTACCGGACGACCCGTTAAGAGATTTACAATCAAAACCAAGTATGTCAACAAAATGAAATGTATCTTAAGTTTTCCAGGATTAAAATTAGTTGAACTATCCTCTAATGGAGTTTTCATAAAAATAAATGTTACATGCGAATTTCCTATTGATTCTTTTAGCAACTATTGTTACTGTTCATGATCCATATAACTTTACAACGACACGCTATCATCTTGAAGAAAGATTAGTGAATAAAGAAGACGATCAGGAGGTTAAACGTTAACTAAAATGGAAAACTAAATCAAAACAAGTTAACAACGTTTGAATTTTTTTCTGCAGGGTGATGCAGCTAAAGATGCTCTGATTGAACAAGAACGTGTTGATGATTTTTTAAATGACAAACATCGTCTATGGAGTGAACAACAGGAAAAAGCGCGAGTTCGAGGAGAAAATGCATTGAAAAAAGAAGTGATTGATAACGTAAGTATATTCACGTTTATTGATACTGTTTTAACTGAGTGTGTTTGTTTCTAGGCTTATGATAATGTCTTGGAAGATTTAAATAAATTAGAACGACAAGATCGTGAACGTAGACAAAAAGAAGTGCAAAACTTACCAGTGTGTAGAAAAGTCTTATTAAAAGTGGAAAACAATTCTTTTTTTATGATTATTTTAGAAAAATATTTTTTTGCCCCCTTGGCGTCGGGAAGAAGAAAGACAAGAACGACAACGAAAAATGGAAACAGCCTTTGAACAAGTCTATCAAGATAAAAATAAAAAACGTAAATTTAACTCTCAGTTTGCAAAATACTTAGAACTATTTATCTTTATGTTTAGAACCTGTGCCAATTGTGCTTATGAATGATGGTGAAGAAGATGATGAAGACATTGCCGAACACGATCGTACTCTAACACCGGGAAATGATGAAAAAGATGTCCAACAATATCGCATGACAACCGTCGCTTCTACAACGACAAACAAAAATCCAACTCCGACCGTTGCTATCATGACCGAGAATGAATTCGATTTGGATAGTACAATGAATGGAGCTGAAGCCACCCTGGCTGATCCAACATTAGCCACGCTACACAACCTTCAAACGCCTGTTTTCTTTATGCCTGAGTCTGGTCAACCACAACAGCAAAATATGCAACGTTTAATGCAAAAAATTGAACGACAACGACAGGATGCTTATAAACGCAGTTTAATCGAAATTGAAATAGAAGAACATCAACACGAACAATCACCGTTACAAAATCATAAAACACCAAAACATCTTGTAGTCAGTCCCGGTTACTTGGAAACATCGTCAGTTACATCATCATTTGCCGGTGTAGAAAAAACGCGAATATCAACAATGGTTGACGGTAGTCATAGTCAAATGAATGAAGCTGATGAAAAACGAAAACAATTGGAGTAAGTGAACGATTATCCAAAGTTATTTCACCTCTTATCAACATTTTCTTTTTTTTGTTTTGTTAGATTGCGTAAACAATCTCTTGAAGAACAAATTCGTTTATTATCCGAACGTGAACGTGCTATTGACATTTTATCTTCTATGAAACAAGAACAACCATTAGTTCCTGCTTCATCATCGTCAGCGATGAGTACTAGTTCTGTATCAAATCATGATTGTTCTATTGAAAGTTTACTACTGAATTACAAAAATAATTTCAATCATCAGGCAACCGCTACGACGACCACAACCAGTAGTTCTCAAAATTTAGTAAATCATCAGCCATTGGATTTGAAAGATGACTGGAATTTCGTTCAAGCTGTCTCAGCTATTGTATCGACGTCAGAGGATGAAGAAGGCGAGTCTTCTTCCTCTGCAACACCTACCATATCGCGATTACGATTAGATAGGTATGATAGTCACTCATCAGAAGATCGAGATCATTCATTAGAAGAATTAATATCACGATTAAAAGCAACACAAAATAAAGATCAACAACCACAAAATGATCCATTAAGTATATTAAAGAACTGTATGAGACAACAGCAGCGTCTCGATTATCATGATAGTCATTCGACAGATGAGAGAGATTTGTCGGTTGAAAGTTATATACAACCACCGACAACAATAACGACAACGGGAGAGAGTAAGTTGAATAATGTACATTTCATAATATTGTAAAGTAATACAAATCGTTTTCAAATTATAGATAATGTACAATCACAGCCAGATTGTTTAAGTGTTAATCAAACATTAGAAAGAATTTTACATTCATTAAAAGCCCATACAGTTGTAACAGAACCAGTAATAGTGGATGACTTTGTTGATGATGCTCTGTCCGAAGATACATCGTCAGTAGTATCAAATGATCCACGTCGCAGTGACACAAACATTTTAAATTTATTACTAGTTCAAGATCAAAATGAACAGCAACAGCAAATAACGAGTCCTACAAAGGCGGATATTGATGAAATTCAAACACGATTTCAGAAAGAAAAACGTTTAATTGAACAAGAATTAGAAATGATTCGACAAGAAAGAGAAATGATATTGCATCAAAATAGACAAAATATGAACGGACAAACGTAAGTTAGCATCGGTTATTCGTTTAAACTTTGAGAACGTCTTGTTTCTACCATAGGTTCTTCAGCAAACAAGATGATTCTTCATCACGTATTCCTCTAGCGCCACCACCGCCACCTCCATCGATTTTACGCTCTAAAATCACTGGTGATATTCAACATATTCATGAATTGAGTACAATACAAGAAGTCGATACTCCTGTAAGCTCGCGAAATACTACATTTCAACATTATTATCAAAGTCCATTTAAATCCGCAACAAATGATCCACCATTAGAACGAATATCGTCAGCTGATAATTCGGTGGATATTTCGACATCATCGTCTTCTGGCTCTTTGGCAGCCTCATTTCGATCTTTAAATAAGAAAACGAAGAAAACTAGTGTAATCCCGCTACCAGTTGACTTGAAAACATCTGGCATTCCCGCTGGCGGTTACTCAAGTGGTTTAGAACGTGATGATTCAGGGATATCATTGAATGGTGGTACACGTTCTACAGCTACACGTCTATCGACAGCAACATTAGTGAAAAGTTCGACAACAGCCAGTAGCGGCATTGGAAGTATGATCAATGCAAATGGTGGACAATATAACACAGCACTTGCGAATAACGAGTAAGTTTCGCTTTTGGAAAGGGAACACAATAATAAATTTTAATAATATTGTAAAGATCCCAATCGACTTTAATAAGACCCAGACGTTTGTTGAAAAATATATGGTTATTTATATCATTCTAGTAATCAAGAAATGTCTACCACGAATCGTATTCGAACAATAACAAATGATAGTACTACGAACAGCACCACTGTAAACACAAATAGTGGAAATCAAAATTCACAAATAACACCACGTTCAGACGACTCACTCAGTCATATGTCATCGGTATCGAAAAAATGGCGAGATATATTAGCGAATGAATGTAATAGTAACACGAGCGCTACTGTACCCACAATAGTTCCAAATGCCATAGAAAATCAGAAACAAACATCACCTATTCCACAACAACAGCAACAATATTCAAATTTTCAACAATTATTCGATTTAGATCGATTTATGCAGAAAAAATCAGAATTAACACATTCATTTGGATTCACAGCAAGCCATGAACAGCAACAGCAAAATTTAACAAAGATATCACCTCAGATAAATGCCAACACTATAGGTAATATTTCACAGTGTAATACATTAGTTTAATACCAGATTAAGAAATGCTGTGTACAATCGCCTATTAATCATTTTTCTTTCAGGTAAGGCGGAACTACAAACACCAGTATTACCATCCGTCTCTCGAGCAACCTCCTCTTCTTCAATTCATCAAACTCAAGAACAATTATTACGTGAGCAGTACTCAAATGAAGAGTGTGATTTAATGTCTTTATTAAAAGTTCATGAATATTTAACAAAACAACATACAACCGTTTTGAAATCCGACAATGGACATTCATCGTCACCAGTTCCATTTATTAATAGTACTGTTACTCAACTTTCATCATTCGACGATGAATTAAATAGTCCATTATATAGAAAACCTCATCATCAAAATTCTGCGTCGACATTAACTTCAGTTACTTATCGTTCATCTTTAATCAATAATAATCACGCCACTTCCTCATCAGATAATAATCGAAAACAGTCGTTTTCATCTCATACATCTTCTCAAACAGCTCCAGTAGCATTTAAAAAGGATACTCCTCAACAGCAGTCTCCATCAAATAACAGTAGCTTTTTGAATGACATTCAACATTTAAGTTCACCAAATACATTTGAAACATCTATGACATCATCACGATCACCATCATCAAAAAAACCAGTAGATACTCTAAGTTACTTGATAGAACAAAACCAATTAGCAATGAATCGTTTGGTATCCTTGGAGCCAGTAGTAGATAAGTCATTTTCAACATCTGTGGGATCAAAACAACCAACCAAAATATTAGATTTTTCTGCTTCTTCATCAAAACAAGAAGAAAAAGCAGATTTAAATTCGACTGTCTATTCGTCGGCATCTGTAAGACAAGTAGAATATGAAAGTGGATTATTAACCACATTTGATATGAATAACCAGAATCAACAAACAATTATGACCACTAACACAACCAATTCATCGTTATATCAAAGTAAAACGCCAGATTCATACACACTAACACCAGAAACACGGCAAATGATTGCACAAGTATTTGGCGATGAAAAAATACCAATAACAGTAGAAGAACAAACAGAAGCAATCGAAAAGAAAGAACAATTATCAGGTACAACTAATGAAGTAATAAAAGAATTTTCAAAGAATTGTTCAGCCTCAGCCATGACAGAAGTTAAAACAACATCGTCGGAAAGCATTCTTGAAACAGGTTCATTAGCGACATTCGATTTTCTCAACAATAATCACTTATCAATCGATATCTATCCAAAAGTGAGTACGCACAAATCAATTGAACATCCATCTACTATCAGTTTTATATTTCTAGATCGATCTTGATGAGAAAGGTATAATGGATGAACCTTCAATAACACTACCATCAAACAGTTATCGTTCATTAAGTTCAAATGGTCAACATTTAAAGAATTCTTCGGTTCAACGCAATAGCCACATGAGTAGTGTTAATTCATTACCAGGTCAAATGAAAAAATGTTGTTCATCTCCGTTAAGTGATAAAACAAGTGCGTGTACAACACCCTCATTATCACCAATCAAAGCTGACTATTCACAACGTCAAACGCCTCATTTAATTGAAAATCGACTGAATGGTGCCTCTACGCCGTTAATATCCTCACAACAACACCAACACCAACATCAACAAACTATCCGACAATCAATAACAACGTCAAGTGATTCATCTCATCATCATAAACATAAAACAAAAACAAATAAAAATAATGAATCATTATTATCGTTTGAAAAACATGAGTTAAGTGCGGGCGGTGGCTTGGCATCCGATGAAAGTGAAATAAAATCATTAGATCATTCACCAATACGACATAATACTGAAAATGATTGGTCTTATTTTATTACTGTTAATGAACAATTAGAATTACCCAAATCTCTCCCAGTCAATGGTTCACCTTCTTCTTCTTCTATGTCATCGAGTATATCGGTAAATAGTAAGAAGAAATCAGAAACACATATTGGTGGTGTCGAATTCTTTGTTCATGATAATCTGACACCAGGTAGGTAAAATTGAAATCATTGCTCCAAAGTATTAGTTTATCAGGACAAAGAGGTATTTGCTCAACGGAATGAACTATTCTCTACTTTAATTTTAGCTCAAATAGCATTGCCATCTTTACAGTCATCTTTAATATCGAAACGTTCGGATTTTTTGCAATCAAGTCAAAAACGCGTGGAGGATATTAAAAACAAGGATTATTCAAAAACAATAAAATTACCAATTCCATCCTCTTCTTCCTCTTCTTCTTCTCCTTCCTCATTATCAAGCGATGAAAAGCCCAAATCATCAGTAAAAGCAAATTCTGTTTTACAAA